TTGTATGTATGTAATGTCTGTTTTTCGGTATGCCTTTATGTGGGTATCACTGTATGGACATATGCATGCATGACTGTATGTGTATGCATGCATGTATGCATGCGCGTGTGTACGTATGCATGCACGAATGTATGACTGTATGTGTGTATGCATGCATGCATCTACGTATGCATGGATGTATTGATGTATGCATGGGTCTGTGTGCATGCATGCAACTACTCTGTTTGTATGCATGCATGCACGCATGCATGTGTGTGTATGCCTATGTGCATGCGCGTATTTATGAATGCATGTATGTATGCATGCATGTATGTATGTATGTATGGACTTAGGTGTGTATGTGTATACTTATGTATGTATGTGTGTAAACATGCATGTATGTGTGTATATACGTATCTACGGTTGTGTGCATGTATGTATTAGTCCATGCATGTGTGTATGAATGTATGCACATATGCATGTATGTATGTTTGTAGGTGTGTGTACGTACATGTGTGTGTATGTGTGTATGTATGCATGTATGTATGCATGCATGTATGTATGTATGTGTATGTGTATGTGTATGTTTATGTTTATGTTTATGTTTATGTTTATGTATGTATGTATGCATGCATGCATGTATGTATGTATGCATGTATTTATGCATGCATGCATGTATGTATGTATGTCTGTCTGTCTGTCTGTCTGTCTGTATGTATGTATGCACATATGTATGTATGTATGTATGTATGTATGTATATATATATAGATATATGTATGTATGTATGTACGTACGTACGTATGTATGTGTGGTTGCATGAATGCATGCATGCATCCATGTATAGATGTATGCCTACATGTGCGTATGCATGCATGTATTTAGTTTGCGTGCTTGCTTGCTTGCTTGCTTGCACGCCTGCTTGCTTGCTTGCTTGCTTGCGCACTTGCTTGCTTGCTTGCGCGCTTGCTTGCACGCTTGCCTGCTCCCCGAGTTGCGGAATCCAAGCATGCTTGATTTCTCCGATTCCTTGCTTTGAGGCGTCTGGTCTATTTGGAGTCGACGCTGGCTGATATATCTATATATTAGCATAATGTATACACACACATATATATATATAGGTACGCATATATATACATATATACACATATAGTTGTATATATATATATATAGAGAGATATTCCTATATCTGTATCCATGGTCTATACACCTTTGTTTCGTGTTGCCCGATCTTCTAGGCGACGCCCGTGCAGGTCGGTCGTTGCCTCCTGCGCCGCCGATGCCATCGTGGCGATGCAGGTCCCCTCCTCCGAGGCCACACGCGAGGCCGCCTCGAGAGGCCCGGGGAGAGAGCCCCCCGGCCGCTACGGCCGGGATCGCCTCCCCGAGGCTCTGCGGCCGGCCGGAGCGCGAACCCCGCGAGGGGCCGGGGCGGGGCGCACAGGCGCCTGGCGTCGTGCGTCCGTGGTGCACGACGTGAACGAGCAACACACACACACACCCATACCCATAGGGGAGTCCTCCTCCTCCTCCTCCTCAACTCCTGCTCCTGCTCCTCCTCCTCCTCCTCCTCCTCCTCCTCCTCCCCCCTCCTCCTCCATAGGCGAACGAACAGCACACACCCATACCCACAGGGGGGTCGTTGGGAGGAGGACTGGCTCCAGGTATGGGTGCGGGTTGTCGGACCCTGGGGAATGCTCCCGTTCGAGCGCGGACCCCCATCCGACAACACGCGCCCACAGCCCTCTCCGACCCCTCTATGGGTGTGGGTGTGTGTTGTTGGTTCGTCAAAGCAGTGGCGAAGCGTCCTGGCGTGCCTATAGGCCTACCAAACAGTGTTCTCAGAACCGACGAAATGTCCCTAGAACATTTCTGGCGGGGTCTGTCTTGTCTGAGCACATCGGGTTAATTTTTTCAGAATAGGTTGTTTTTGTGCTCAGGACATTTCGCGGTAGGAACTGGGAACATTTCGTGGCAGGGGACTCTAGGAATGCCGGGACGGTCGGTCCCTGCTCAAGCGTTCGTGGTGCACGACGTGGCCCCGCCAGGGGGGAAACCCAGACCCCCTCGTGCTGTGAGTCACCACCCACCAAATCACCCCAGCCCAACCCGAAGGCCTCGATTTGCCCTCCATTTCCAGTGGGGGGTGGTCGGGGAACATCGAACAAAAACGCATCTGGAGCCCATACCCCCCCAACCCGAAATTCGGGTCTTCGGGTTGGGTTGGGGTGGTCTGGTAGGTAGTCAGTGAGACCATCGCGACGGGAGGTTTTCCGTTCCTGTCGGCCTCCGGGGGCCCTCGCGGGGCCCTCGGGAGCGGTCGCACCACGGCTCGGGACGAGAAGCCGGATCCCGGGGGAGGGGTCGATATACCTCTGGGGGTCGACGTCATGAACAGATCATGACGCTGGGGGTTTGGGAACTCGGGGGCGGAAAAGAGGGGGGTGATGACTAGGGACTAGGGGGGGGGGATATCATGGCGGGGGCCATGATATTTCCCCAGATCTCGTGGCGCCTCTTCTTGTTTCATTACGTCCCTGGCCCCCCCGATGGGCCGCGCACATGCCGCCGGTCATGATTTGCACCCCCCCCTCTTGGACACCCCCCTCTTTGCCGCCCCCGAGGAACGGATCCCTTGGGCCCGCGGGGCGGCTTCGGGGGTCTGGGGGTCGACGTCATGAACAGATCATGACGTCATGAACGGATCATGACGTCGGGGGTCGACGACATGAACGGATCATGGCGTCGGGGGTCAGGGAAAGGGATTTCTGAGGATTTTCCCACTTTTGGCCCCCTTGGGCCCTTCCACGGTCCCGGGACCGTCAGACATCGCACCAGGCTGAGGCGTTGGTCCTGGGAGAGGGCCCCGGGGTCCAGGACCCGTTTCCCTGAGGACCCGGTTCCTCCCTATGCTTCCCTTCTTTCGGATGCAACTCTTGGGAGGTCAAGTTCTGATTCAGCCCTGGTCCGAAATCCCGCTTAATCCGGCGTAATCCCGCTTGATCCCGCTTGATCTGGCCTAATCCCGCTGAATCCCGCTTAATCCTGCTGAATCCGAGGTCCACTCTGGCATACCAGCCCCCCGATGGGGCTTAATCCTTTTTCATTTCTCCGACGAAAACCTCCCAGTAGTTTTATGTCGGGCGTGTCCCCACTACAGGGGGATTTTCGTCGACAAATAAAAACTACCCCAACAATGCCCCAAACAGATAAAACATACAAGAAAAATGGTCCCCAGACTATTTTTGGAGTATTTGTTAATTATGTTTTTGGTATATTTTAATTTTTCCTGATAATTCCCCTGTAGGGGGACAGGCCCGACTTAACAGTAATTGCCTCCTAACCTTCTCCTTTCGATGCGGCCCCTGGTCCGCTCCCCCCCCGCCCCTCGTCCGCGCGCGTGCCGCGGGGCACAAGTTGCGACCCCCCCCCTCGTGGACACATCTGACGCTGTGTCGGTATTCCCGTGGCCTCACGGCCGGTGCCGTAGGTCCCGTGCGCAACGGGCAGCGAGAGACACTGGCAGTGGGATGTGGAGCAGGAGGAGGGAGAAAAAGAGAAGGAGGGGGAGGAGGGGGAGGAGGAGGAGGAGGGAAAGGAGGAGGAGGGGGAGGGGGAGGAGGAGGATGATGATGCTGATGATGGTGATGATGATGATGATGATGAGATTGATGATGATGATGATGAGATGATGATGCGGCTGGTGCTGATGCTGATGCTGATGCTGATTGCTGCTGCTGTGCTGATGCTGATGCTGATGATGTGATGAGATGATGATGCTGCTGCTGCTGATGATGATGATGAAGCTAGCTGATGATGATGATGCTGATGAGATGATGATGATGATGCTGATGATGATGATGATGATGCTGATGATGCTGATGATGATGATGATGATGGACGATGATTGATGATATGATGATGATGATGGATGATGATGATGATGATGCTGATGCTGATGATGATGATGATGAGTATGATGATGATGATGATGATGCTGATGATGTGATGATGATGATGATGATGATGATGATGATGATGATGATGATGATGATGAGATGATGAGATGATGATGATGAGGTGGAGACAGAGGACGAGGAGGCTCGGAGGAGTGAGGCGGGGAGGGGAGGAGGAGGAGGAGGGAGTGGGGAGGAGGAGGAGGAGAGGCGAGGAGGAGGGGAGGAAGGAGGAGGAGGAGGAGGAGGAGGTAGGAGGAGGAGGGAGGAGGAGGAGGAGGAGGAGCGAGGGGGATGAGGAGGAGGAGGAGGAGTAGGAGGAGGAGGAGGGAGGAGGAGGAGGAGTGGAGGAGGAGGGAGGAGTGAGGAGAAAACGAGGAAGGCAGGAGGAGGCAGAGAGGAGGATGGGAGTAGGGAAGGGGGAGGAGGGGAGGCGCGGGAGGAGGGAGATGCGGGGAGGATGGTGATGAGTGGAGCGGGGTACGGAGGGTGGAGTGGGATGTGGGGCGGAGGGGGAAGCTTCAGGCGGGGCAGGGGAAGGACTGGGAGGAGGGGGAGGCGGGGAGGAGGGGGAAGCGGGGAGGAGGGGGGGAGGGGGGAAGCGGGGCCGAGGGCAGGAGGGAGGGGGGAAGGGGACTCCCCCTTCTTGGACGCCCCCAGAGCGTTGTCAGCAGTCCTCTTGCTGCTGCTGTCGTCCCGCCCCAGGCGCGGCGCCGGCGCTGTGCGCCGCCGCCCCGCCGGGCTGCGCGCAGGGGGGCGGCGCTGCCCCGCCGGGGCCGCCCGTCCTCTCCGTGGAGGAGGGGGCGCTGCTCGCGGCCGAGGATCGGCCCCATCCTCGGCCTCGTAGTCGTCGTCCTCCTCCTCCTCGTCCTCCTCTTCCCCGTCCTCCTCCTCCTCCTCCTCCTCCTCCTCCTCCTCCTCCTCCCCGTCCTCCTCCTCCTCCTCCTCCTCCTCCTCCTCCTCGTCCTTGGGCCGCAAAGTTTAGGGAGCCTGCAATGTCTAGTCGGAGGCCTAGAGGTCGACGCCAACACCAGCATCGGCGATGGGCCCCCACCGAGGGAAGAGTGTGCCGATCTAGGCGATGGTGTGGAAGGTTCTGGCTCCCTGGGCGGCCGAGAGGTTACCACCGACACCGCACTCTGGGGTCATCTCCACCCTGGTGGATGCAACCCCCCTGTGTTGGTGCCGGTGCCCATTTCCAAGCCTCCAGCGTCTTGAGAAGAGCACGGCCGAAGTGCTTGTCGACGTTCGGCCTCTCGGGGCTCTCCGAACCGGCCCCTCTGAAGGCGAACCGCGAGGTTGAGACTCCAGCCCAGGATTTCTGGGGGCCGGGTGGTGGAGATATCCTGACATCGCATGCCTGGGACTGGGTACCCCCTGGATGTGGTAATGATCGAAGGGGGGGGTTAAGCTTTCAACAGAGCTTCACAATTACTCAATATGAGTACTACTCTCCCTCTTCCGCTGATGACGTCTTGGGAATATTCGCCCCCCCCCCCCCGCGTATTGTTTTTTTACACACAGGTTTCCCGGGAGTTGGGTTTTCGCTTGCATTTTTGTCCAAAATGCTGCTCTCGCTGAGGCGCCGGCCTCATTTTCGGGCCCCGCTCGTTCCGAATCGTGCTCCCGCTGCAGCGCTGGCATCATTTCCGCCGGCGCCTGGGCTGTTCCCGAGCCGGCGCCCGGGCCGGCGCCCGGGCCGGGTCCGGAGCCGGTTCTGGCCAGCCGGAGCCGGTTCCGGCCGGCGCCGGAAAACCGAGTTCCGAGGCGGCGCCGAAAAAAGGCCATTCAAATACACATTTTTCTTTTGAGAATGCTGAATTTCTTCTTCCCGCGCCCGGGAGGCCTCCTGGGCCGATTTCGACGCCCAGGCTGGCGCCCGAGCCGGCGCCCGGGCCGGACGCCCGAGCCGGCGCGCGGGGGCCGGAGCCGGTTCCGGCCGGCGCCGGAAAATCGAGTTCCGCGAGGCGGCGCCGAAAAAATACCATTTCAATTTTTTTTGTTGAGAATGCTGAATTTCAGCTTCTGGCGGCCGGGAAGCCTTCCCCGGAGTTAGGGTTTCGCTTGCATGTTTCCCCAACATGCTGCTCGCGCCGGCCTCATTTTTGGGCCCCGCTCGTTCCGAATCGTGCTCTCGCTGCAGCGCTGGCCTCATTTCCGTGCTTCCGCTCGTTCCGAATCGTGCTCCCGCTGCAGCGCTGGCGTCATTTCCGCGCTTCCGCTCGTTTCGACTCGTGCTCCCGCTGCAACGCTGGCGTCATTTCCCGTGCCATGCCACGGCATGCAATGCAATACCAGGTTGATACTAATTACGCTTCGCGGTGCTCTTCTACGCCATGCCATGCCGTGCTGTACAATGCATCGCGTACCCTTTCGGGATCATCGCCCTGCTTGACATCCGACTGTGCGAGTAGTGAGGGGATCTGCGCCATGGTAAGGGATGGGAGGGAGGGGTAGGATGTCAGATATGACGCGAGCGCACCTAGCTTGCCATCCCCCCCCCTCCCTTCTTTTCCTCCCACTTCTCCCCCTCTTCCTCCAGCCCCTCCGCCACCCCTCCCAACAGCACGTGTCCAACCCCCAAGCGGATCCAAGGGTGGGGGGGCGATGATTGCCCCATTTAGAATGCGGAAGGAATGGGTACGACGGCCGACAGCTTTTTTCAGGCCAGCGACAATTGGGGGAGCTGTGGTCCTTACCCCCCTGGGGGACCCATCGATTTCGACACCCCTCTCGAGAGATCGTCGAGGCGATGGATTCCCCTAGAGGGGGTACGGACCACAGCTCCCCCAATTATGGCTGGTCGGTTTTTGGTTCATTTTGAACATGAGTCGATGTCGGCGTCGCCGTTGTGCATTTGAGATAGAAAGCCCCTTGCCCAACAGCGGCCGCTTTGGGGAGATACTTGTTGTTGGGCATAATACATTTTTTCGTACCCATTTCGGGAAGAAGGAACCACGACGATCGTGACCAAGAAGTCGCGGGCATTTTGACGACGCCGACTCTTGGTCATTCGAAGGGCCGCAAAAACGTCATCCACATACTTTCTGGGAGGTCCGCGCGGATTTCTGGGATCGGCGCTGGGCCCAGTGTCTCATCTCGAAGAGCAGCACAGCAGTGTGAATGTACTCTCCTGTAGATACGCGCGGATTCGTTCGGTCGGCGCTGGCGTCCTCCGGCGGCGCCTCCGGCGCCGCCCCTGGCTCGCTCTGCGCGCCAAGACGGGAGGTCCAGTGCCGATCCAAGGAATTTTTCGCGGACCTAGATGTCGCGGGGATCTTGTCGACGCCGATTTTGGTCGTGGTCACCTGAGATCCTGGCGTCTCAATTGTTTCGAGCTGTCCCTGGGATCTTCACAGATCAATCCCGCTCAGAAAATTCAGCAGAAAATTGGCCCAGGGCTCTTGTCGTGACTTGTCCAATGTTGTATTTTTTCGCGTCGTTGGATCTCAGGGTCCATGCCGGTCGTCGCCGATTCGTGAGGATGGTCCACGAATCGACGGTGACCAATGGACGGTGAGCAAGATCGGCACCGACGTTTCCGCGTTCAGTCTTTGGCATGGTCATCTATGTCGCTTCCTCCAGAGGAGGAGTTAGAGGAGCTGCTCGCGAGCTGCCCCGTGCTGCTGTTCATGAAGGGCTCTCACGACATTTCAGGAGTGCAACAAGCATGCACATCGGCTTCAGGGGAGTAGAGGGAGGGGGGAGGTTTCTTGGAAGGAGGCTGCTGCTCAGAAGCAGCGTGCCTTATCTATAAATGTACGGCCAGCGCCTTCTGAGAAGCAGCCTCCTCCTCCCCTGAGTCCCCATCCCTGATCTTGGAGTCACCTCATCTCGGTGCCGATCTTCAGGAGTTCTCAATTCTTGAGGGCGCATCCAGAAGACTACAGTCGCCCTGGGCTTGCCAATCTTTGTGACGGGGACGAGCTCGAAGCTGGTTAGAGCGCTCCTGTTCCCTATCAGCATTTCGCGAGAGGGTTCTCATGGGTAATAACATAGATCACAGAAGAGTCCCACAGGGGGGGGCGGGTAGCCCCAGACCGCCCGGTCCGGCAGCCGTTTCCCCTGAGCCTTCCTCGCGATTTCTGCAGGAATCGTCCTCTCGCCTCCAGCGCTGGACCCAAACGCTGTTTTGCTGGACTTCGGCTGTGTTTAGTTTTTCGTTTTGGGAGGGAGGTACAGGAAAACAGGTAGAGCAAAACGAACAACATAACGACATCAGAACCAACAACAACGTTTAGGTCCAGCCCTGCTCGCCTCAATTCCGGCTTTCATCGTTGACCTGGACGGCCGCCGTGCCTTGGTCTGCGCATGGCCGTGCTTTCGGCCCCTCCACCCCTTGAGCCGACCTCCCTCTCCTCGACCCGCCTTCTCCTGCTGCTCTGAGGGTGCCCTGGGGTACGTCATTTGTGCAGTCTTTCCGCCTCCAGCCGCAGAAGAGAACACGCCACAAACATACATTTTGGGCGCTCCGCGCGGATTTTCTGCATTCTCGTTGGGCCCCCCTGGGGGCGCGTCCGGCGCAGCTTTTGGCGCGCTCCGCGCGCCAGGCAGGGGCGCCCAGCGCAGATCTCAGAAATCCGCGGCGCGGAGCGTCAAACGTTCATATGTTTATGGCGCTCTGTCTTCCTCTGTCCAGGCTCTCCGGACAGGCCGCGCTGCGGCTTCTCCCGCGCGGCGGTGCTCGGGGGCTCCAAAGCGGTGTGGTGACCGCACCGCGCGGTGAGTTCAACGGCACCGTAACGGGTACTTACTAACGGGTACTTTGAATTTTTGCCGAAAGTTGCCACTTTAGGGCCTTTTTCTTGCATTGCAGCTTTGCCCACATCGGGAAGGGTTGGGTTCGCTGGGTCAGTGGCCAAAGTACCCGTTAGTGGAGTCCCCGTTTGAGGGGCGCTGATGAGTCAGTCCGTCTGGGGATTCGGGGCTGCCGCGCGGCTTGGGGGCCCGGGCCGCCCCTTCGAGGATCGCCTCGGGCGGCGTGGGCCTCCGGGGGCCTCGAGACGTCGTGCGGCGGCACACCGTGCGGTGAGGTCGTTGTGGATTCCGCAAGGGCTCCCTCGAGGGCGCGAGGTTATTCGCGCTTCGCGCTTCGCGGTCCTCGTTCCTTCTCCCCCTCCTCCTCGTCCTCCTATTCTCCCTTTGGGAGGGCGGCGCGAGAGCGCGAAGTTATTCGCGCTTCGCGCTTCGCGCAGCGCGAAGCGCGAAGTTGGGAGCCCTAGATTCCGAGGTCACCACGCGGACCGTCCCCGGAGGTCCGGTGTCTTGAGTTTCTCGATGCGAGGCCCCTTTGGAGATCTCGACCCCATCCCTTGGACAGGATGTTCATTCGCGCTTCGTGTTGGGCCTGTCCCGAGGCCCGGCCAAGGCCGGCAGAGTTAAGTCGGGCCTGTCCCCCTACAGGGGGATTCTTCGACGAAAAATAAATAATTCCTCCATTTTTGAATATTTTTGGGGTATTTCTTATTGACTCGCAGAACATTTTCCCGAGGGGGCCATCGGCGGCGCTGACCGGCCTGCGGGGCCGCCGGCCCCGCGGCGAGGCCTCCACCAACGCTGGCACCGGAGGGACCCGAGGTGGAGGGCCACGCTAGAACATTTGACTTTAAGTCGGGCGTGACCCTCTACAGGGGGAAAAATCCAAAATAGTCAAAAAATAGTCTGGGGACGATTTTTTTAAAACTATTTTGAGTATTTGGGGGGATTTTTCTTATTTTTCGCCAAGAATCCCCCTGTAGGGGGACACGCCCGACTTAAAACTAACTTTTCGTTGTCTCATCCTACGGCCCCATCTACTCGGACCCCACCTGGGAGGCCGCAAGGTTGTGGAGGCCCCGAATCCGCCACACAAAAGTAGATGCAGACATATCCAATGGATTGTTCCAGGGCCTCAGGGGAGGGTGGCGGTGTAGAAAGCGCAACTGAGAGCCAACGACTTCAGGCACCGCCGCCCTCCCTGACGGTACACGCGAAGTTCGTCGGAGGGTGTCTGTGCGTATGTTTTCTCGGTCTACCGACCCTGAGATCCGACGTACCGAAAAAATGCACCAGCGTAGCAGAAACAGGCCCGGAGCCCTGGACCCCATCTTTCCGCGCCATGTTTCGAGCCAGATCGATCTGTGAGAGCCCCTGGGCTCGAAAAAAGCCGCAGACGCCCGGCTTGAGAAAATGGAGACGCCAGGATCTCGGGGGAAGGTGCTGGCGCTGCGGGGCCTCGGTGTCGCCTTCGACCACGTGGACGTGCTGGAGCGCCCGGCGCTCCGCCAGGCGCTGCGGCGGCGTTGGCCGACGTTCCCGCAGCTCTACTCGCAGGGGCTGCTCCTCGGCGGCGCCGACGCGGTGTCCGGCCCTCGCGGGGGCGCCAACCGTCGCGAGCGGCGAGCCGTCCACGCTTATGTTGCTCCCGTCGTACTTGAGGACCACATCCCAGAAATGGTTTCGAGCACCCAGGCAAGGATCGAAGCAGTGTCGAAGGAGTATCGCCTCCCACGGCCCGACACGTGAAGAACCTCCAGCTTCGGTCCTTTGCCGGTGCTCGAGATTCTTACTGGTGGTCAAGGCAAGAGCAGGTTGGAACAGCATGAGTCTGCGCGCGTCCGCGCCCTCGCTGCCTGGACTCCGGGGCGCGATCCCGCGGACGCTCGGTCGCACGGAGTGCGTTCCGCGCCAGGCGTCCGCGGAGAAGGCGCCCCGCGTCCGCGGGGGCGCGGTACATGTGGGTACTCGGCCCGCGGGGCACCGCGGGTGCGGAGAGGTTCGTCGCCCACGATCCCCCGCCCCGCCCCGTGCGTCGGTCCTCCCTGGCCCCTTCCTGTTCTCCCTTACAGTCAACCCGCACGGTAAGGATGGGCAACCTTCCCAAGGGTGCCCTTGCATCCTTGCCTCCTCGGCCCATCCTTTGCCACTTTCGTTGGCCGCGCGCCGCTGGGAAAGCTTCGGAATGGGCGTCCAAGCCCCTTGCATCCTTGTCGCGCATCCTTACTATGCGGGTTGACTGTACTCTCCCTCCCTTCCTCTCCCTCCGAGGAGGGGTGACGAGCTCTGGAGGCTAGGGCTCCTCTCCCTTGAAGACTGTTTTCTGGGGGTCCGGCGGTAGCCCGGGTGATCCGTCTCGCCCCGCCAACCCTTCCCGCAGGATCACTTAACCTAGCCGGTTGTGCCGCTCTGGGGGGGCGCAGGGAACTCGCAGGGAGCGCCGTGTTCAACGGTACGGTGGTGTTCGCCACAGCATGCTGGTGTTTACATGCACGTTGGCGAATCGTTGGGGCTTGGAGTGGCACGGGGAGGACGACGACAGACGACGACGGACGACGACGACGACGACGACGACGTCGGACGACGACAGACGACGACGGACGACGACAGACGACGACGACGACAGGGTAGTTCGGACGATCGAACTACGACGACGACGACGACGCGAGACGACGACGACGACGAAGACGACCGGATCTCGACGACCGACGACGACGACGACGACGACGACGACGACGACGACGACGACGACGACGACGACGACGACGGACGACGACGACGACGACGACGACGACGACGACGACGACGACGACGACGACGACGACGACGACGACGACGACGACGACGACGACGACGACGACGACGACGACGACGACGACGACGACGACGACGACGACGACGACCGACGTCGTCCATTGCGTTGTGCGCCGGCAGCGAGGCGATTTGGTGTGCGCATTTGCTGTTGTTGCAGCAGGATTTCTTGTGTACGCAGGCGTTGTGGTGCACGCATGTATGAGTGCACGCCGGTCGCGCGGTGCACGCGGGCATCGTGATGCACCAGGCAATCTGGTGACGGCAGGCTCTGTGGTGTGCACAACTGTTCTTGCAACATCAGTTCTCATTCACGCATGCACCCCAGGCATGGTGGTGTACAGAAGCACTGGTGCCCCGTCATTGCGGTGTACCACACTTAGCGGTGTACACGGGCGCTGCGGTGTACACATCCGTTGCTGTGCACACATTCGCTATGGTGTAGATGCGTTGTGGGCCGGGACCGTTCCCTGCGCAAGAAAATCAATAATCACACATAGCTTACATTTTGGGTTTGATACGTTCGGATCCCCCTCGATTTTCTGGAGTTCGGTCCCGCTGGGTGCCCTGGAAGTGTACGGAGTTCTGTGGTGTACATAAGCACTTTGGAGCACGAGTATGGCACTGAAGCAGCAAACGTGGTGCGCATAGGCGCTGTCGTGTACTCAGGCACTGTGTGTGGTGTGTACACAGGCCCTGCGGTTCACTCGGCTGCTGTCTTTTACACAGGCGTTGTGGTGTACAGAGACATTGGGTAGACAGGCGCTGCGGTGTACACAAGCAGTTGTGGTGTACAAAGGCGCCGTGGCGCACGCTAGACAGGCGCTGTGGTGTACACAAACATGGTCGATCAAAAACGGGGGGACCGCACCCCAGCCCGGAAAAATCAATAATCACAAATACCCTTCTTATTGAATTTGATACAATCGGGCTGGGCCCCCGGGGATTCTCCAGATTTGGGCCTCGGCGGGACCTTGGAGGTGCACGGAAGCGCTTTGGCGCAAATGCTCTTCATGCGCTGTGGTGCACGCAACTCCTTTGGTGTGCCCAAGCACCGCAGTGTACACAGGCGCTGTGGTGCACGCAGAAGCCTCTTCTGCAGCAGCACCTGTGGTGTGCAAGACCATTGTTGCGCACTCATGTTTTGTGGTGCTCGCAGGCAGTATGGTGCACGCGCGTTCTCAGATAGTGTGCACAAGACTTCGCGGCTACGTTCAGCAACCACATCCCGCGTATTCAATGCGAGCTGTCCAGACATCTTTAGGCATTCTAAGACGGCGCCCGCCTCGTCGCAGCATCAATAGTAGCATCTCGGCAGCATCGTTGAGGATGAAGGGGCCCGAGGATCGCGGCGCATCGCCGATGCATCGGCGATGCGGCTCGAGTTAGAGCCCGCGTTCTCCACGCCCACCGCGGCGATGCATCGCCGACGTCACCGATGCATTTTACGAGCCCGAAGCAAATCCCTATCCCTGTGTTTGGTAACGCCTGATCTCGACACCGATCTTAGAGGGTTTCCTCAGTTTCTGAGGGCGCATCCCTAAGATTGTCATCGCTTTTTGGCTTGTCAACCTCAGGGATATTCATATGTTCGAGGCTGGCTATCATTGGCCCTGCGGCACGACTCTCCGACGAGGGGGATGAGGAGGAGGAGAGGGAGAAAGAGGAGGAGGAGGATGAGGAGGACGAGGAGGAGGAGGAGGAGGAGCAGGAGGAGGAGGAGGAGCAGGAGCAGGACGAGGAGGATGAGCAGGAGCAGGAGGAGGAGGAGGAGGAGGAGGAGACGGATGAGGAGGAGGAGGAGGAAGAGTAATATTAATGATAATACTAAGGATAATAAGACTGATAAGAAGAATAACACTAGTAATAAAAAGAAGAATAATAAGAATAAGAATAATAATAAGACGAACAAGACTCATCAGAATAAGAATACGAATAAGAATAATAATGATACTAATAATAATAATACTAATAATACGAATAAGACGAATAAGAATACTAATACGAATAATAAGAATAATACTAATAAGAATAATAAGAACAATAAAAACATAATAATACTAATCAGACTAATACTACTAATAATATGAAGAAGAGGAGGAGGAGGAGGCGTTGGAGGAGGAGGAAGAGGAGGAGGCGGAGGAGGAGGAAGCGGAGGAGGAGAGGGGGAGAAGGAGGAGGAGGCGGAGGAGGAAGCGGAGAGGAGGAGGAGGAGGAGAGGAGGAGGAGGAGGAGAGAGGAGGAGAGGAGCACGAGCAGGAGCAGGAGGAGGAGGACAGGAGGACCAGGAGGAGCAGGCGGAGCAGGAGGAGGAGGAGGAGGAGGAGGAGGAGAGGAGGAGGAGGAGGAGGAGGAGGGAGGAGGAGGAGGAGGAGGAGAAGGAGGAGAAGGAGGAGGGGAGAGAGAAGTGGAGCAGGACAGGAGGAGGAGGAGGAGGAGCAGGAGGAGGAGGAGGGGAGGAGGAGGAGGAGGAGAGGAGCGAGGAGAAGGGCAGTCAGGGAGCAGGGAGGAGGAGGAGGAGGAGGAGGGGGAGGGGAGGAGGAGGTGGAGGAGGAGGAGGAGGAGGAGGAGGAGGAGGAGGAGGAGGAGGACCAGGAGGACCAGGAGGAGGAGGAGGAGCAGGAGGAGGAGGAGGAGGAGGAGGAGGGCCTGCCTCTGGGGACCACTCGTCCGGCCCCCGGGTGAGGCCTGGCAGCCCGCGGGGAACTCCTCGACGCCCTGCGGAGTTCCACCGCGCGCGAGCGGGCGGCGCTGCGCCTGCTGCTGCCGCCGGGCGGGGCCGAGGCGGAGGGCGGGCGCGCGCGGGCGGATGGCATGGCGAGTTTCGGCCCCGGGGGGCCCTCGCCGGGCCTCGGGACCGTTAAAAAAGGATTCTGGACGAAAAATTGGTCCCGGGGAAAGGGTCGGGTTTTCCAGGGACGCCGTGCTGAACAAATCGGGGCTTCGCACGTCTGGGGATGGGCCGACGCAGCTTCAGCCGCGCGCAGAGGGGGGGTCCCTGAGATCCTGGCGGCTCAATTTTCTCGAGCCGGGCGCTTTGGCTCCATTCTGGGTCCTGGGGCCCTCACGGATCGATCAGGCTCGAGACATGATGCACATAGATGGGGTCTATAGGGCTCAGGGCGTGGCTCTTGACGATGTTGCAAGTTTTTCGCTACGCACCACTACTTCTCAGAAAAGGCGGGCTTTGTCTGTGTAGGCGTAGGGCGGGCGCCTTCTAAGACGCAGCCTCCTTTTGAGAGATCTTCCCCCCTGCCCCTACCCTTTACTCGGGCCCTGTGCGGGAACCATTTTGAATTAAAACGTTGGGATATGTGTCGATTTTGGGGTTGTGCGTTGTGTCGACGTGTCGATTTTCGAAGCGTGCGTTGTCTCAATGCGTTGATGGTTGTCGTGTCGAAAAAAGTTACAGTTTTATTGCGCGGGAAACCATGTTCTGCAACATGCGCTGGTTGTTGTGTATGTGTTGGTTAGTGTGTTGCGGAAATTGTTCAAGATGTTGGCTTCACGACATGAGTTGATGCGCGCGCGTTCTGTCAGCAAAAGTGTTGCAATGCCGCCCATGCGTTGTCAAAAATTTCGGTGCTTGAAAATCGTGTTCGCACACGCGTTGATCGCTCACAGACTCGATATCCGCAGTGTCATTCGAATCAAGTTTGAACCGACGCCTTGCACATCCAACAGTGTCGCCACCTCTGTTAAATCAAGTCGTACATTTTCCAGCCAAACAGCACCCGCGCAGGGCGTGTGGGGGAAGCAAAAGGGGAGAGTCAGTGGATAATTGAGGAGAAGGGCTAGGCATCACGAGAAACAAGAAGAGGAGGGGAGGAGAGGAACCTAAGACTTAAGAAGCTCTGACACAGTTCACAAGTGTAACAAGGAATCCAGAAGCCCCAAAGCCCAGTGTCCAGGATCCCACGGCCAGAGTCCAGGATCCCATAGCCGCTGCCAGAGTCCACAGTCCAATCCAGGATCCACGGCGTCCACGGCCAGAATCCTTCTCTCTTCCTCCTCCTCTCCCTTTCCCTGACAGTCAGTATTCGCTCAGACGCTGCCGCGGCCGCTGCCGTTGTCGCTATCGGACGCTATCGCTATTTATTGCCACTGTTTACTGTTCCTCCCGTCCCTCCTCCCGTCCCGTCCTCGGCTGGGCCGTGCCTCGCCATGGGTTGGGGGAGCGCCCTGGGGCCCTCCAGCGAGGGCAGCGAGGGCGGCGAGGCGCCTGGCGACCCCTGGCGCCACGGTCGTTGGCAAGGCGGTCCGCGAGGCGTTCCGGGCCCCACCCCCGGCAGCTGCAGCAGCTGCAGCGCCGCGGGCCAGGGCTCGGATTTCTCGCGGCCAGTACGCAGCAGCAGAACCACCGCCACCAGCAGCACAACAAATAGCAGCAGCAGCAGCAGCAGCAGCAGCACCGGCGCCAGCTGCCAGCATTTCCTCAGCGCCGGCGAGAGCAGCGCGCCCGCTCCCGTCAGAGCCCTGGACTACGGTGATGTCTTCATGTCTACGTGAGAATCCGGCCCTCCTCCGCCCTCTCCCGGCCAAGGCTTGCCGGCGCCAGGCGGCGAGATGCCCGAAGCCAGCGGGCGAGTGCAGGACCTGCCGCCGTTGCTCCTCCCCCCCTTTTCCTCCAAGCTCGCAAATGCGAGTTCAGCGCAACTTTTGCCGGAGGTATCGCGCCCGTGCTGCGTTGCATACTGCGCGCTGCGCGCGCGTGCGCGCGCAGAGGAAGGGGGCAGCGGCGGGGCTGCAGGCGCAGGGCCAAGGGCGGGCGCGCTCAAAGGAGAGCTGCCCGGCAGAAGTCTCCGCCTGCCGCCTGTGGACGTCTCTCCAAGTTCAAGAGCTTCGAACCGTGCGCGAGATTTGCTGGATTCATCGCGAACGCCCAAAGCGGGGGCGTTGGAGAGGGCCAGCGGCCAGCGACATTGCTTAGCGTCCGTCTCGCCAGTTGTTCTGCGCGCTTCCATCGCCCTCGCGGCCATTCGCCGCGCGCTTTCGTGTGCGGCGCCGTTCCCGATTGGTCCCGTCTCTCCCTTGGCAACTGCCGTGCGCTTCCGACGTCGACGTCCGTTCTGATGCCTCAACGTGTTCTCCAAGGCCATCTCCTGCCGCGACGTCCGTAGCGACTTCCGACGCGACTCCCGATTCCAACGGTTGGCGCGGTTCTCCGCGTCCGTTCTGATGCAAGCGACGATCGCAGCAGTTTTCTCGACGGACGTCCCAGCGCCTTTCCCGGCGCCGAACAGTTTTCCCAATATAAGTCCCACCGCCTTTGCCAACGCCGAACGAAACTCCCAACGCTTTGCCGCAATTGCCCGACATCAATTTTGATACCCAAATTGATACACGCTCAGTAGAAGTGTCGATTTGGGTTTCGATTTCGGCGTCGATTTCCGAGTCGGCCCCCAGCGTCTATTTGGATGCCCATTTTGATGCCCGGCGCCAGATTTTTCGCCCACGTCAGCGCGTTCTCGAGAAATACATATATTCCCCGGGGCCAGAATTGATACCCAACGTCAATTTTGATGCCCATGTTGATGCCCAAATTGATACAACCTCAGTGAAAGTGTTGATTTCGGTGTCGATTTCCGAGTCGGTCCCCAACGTCCATTTTGATGCCCATTTTGATGCCAAAATTGGTAGGGACTCAGTAAAAGTTTTGATGTCGGCGTCGATTTCGGTTTCGATTTCGGTGTCGATTTCAGAGTCGGTCCCCGACGTCACATTTGATGCCCATTTGGATGCCAAATTTGATGCGAACTGAGTGAAACGTGTTGATTGCGGTGCCGATTTCGGTGCGGATATCCGAGTCGGGCCTCCAGCGTCACTTTTGATGCCCATTTGGATGCCCGGCGCCAAATTCGATGCCCGAATCAACGCATCTTCGAAGAATCAATACATTTCCCAGCGCCAAGCTTGATACCCGACGTCAATTTTAATGCCCATTTTGATACCCAGCGTCAGAATTGTCACCTCCAACTTTTGCAAAGTACTCCCCCCCCCCCTTCCCACCCCCCTCCCCCTCCCCCCCTTCTACCCCTTCCCCCCTGCCCTCCCCCCCCACCCTCCCAGACCCCCCCCCTCCCCCCTGCAGATCTCCCCTGCCCCTGTCCCCAAGCGCCCGCCACGTGGTCGCCGCGCGACCGCCACTTCCCCCCCCCTTCCCCTTCCCGCGCGTCCCAGGGTCGCGCGTGGCAGTCTTGCGCAGCGCACAGCAACCCGGCCCCCGTCGGGCGTGAGATTTTTGCAAAATCCCCCCCCCCCGCGCGCCACGCGCCGAACGCGAGATTGCTTCAATGTCTTTCCCACGCCGCCGACGCCTCCTTTGCGCGGCGTCGGACGTGCGATTTTTGCAAAAGTTCCCCACCCCTCCGCCCGCCTTGGCGCCATCGGGCGCGCCTTGCGCGCGCTGTTATATCAGGGTTCAGGGGGCGCGCGACGAGGTTGTCTCTTTCTGGCTCGCTTGCTCCCCCCCGCGGCTGACATGCCTCGGCTGCAGCGGTTGACGACGGCCCGGGCGCTTGCGCATATTGATTGCCGAGCAGACGCAGCGGCAGAACGGCTCATACGGCGCCAGGGTCGACGTCCAGCGCCGGAGCGGACACTCAGGCGCGCGGCCTGCCGCTCCTGGGCCCTGGTGCCCCCGCCCCATCCCGCGCGCGCGCCCCAAGGACCTCGCCCCCAATGCGGCCGCGGCCGTCCGGCCCCCGCGCCCCATCTCTTGCCCCCCCCCCCCCCTCCCCAATTTTGGCCCTTGCCCCCCCCTCCCTCCCACGCCCCTCCCCCCCTCCCTCCCTCCCTCCCCCCGTCACTCCTGCCATCTTTCCGCCCCTCTATCACTCCCTCTCCTTCCTCGTCCTCCGCGTCTTCCTCGTCGTCGTCGTCGTCGGCCTGCCCCTGCTCAGTTCTACTCTCGTTTCTCTTCCTCATTTTCCTCCTGCCCTTCCTCTTCCTCCTCTTTATTTTCCTCTCCGCCCCCCTCGCCCCCTCCCGTTTCGCCCATCCTTCCATCCCTCCAACCCTATCTTTCTCTCCTCTCCCGCTCCCTGTTCCCTCCTGCCTCCCTCCCTCTATCCTTCCGCACCTTCTTCCCTCTCCCCCCCGCCCCTCCTTGCCCCCCCCAGCCCCGTCCCTCCTTCTCTCGCTGCCTCTCTTTCCCTCCCCCCCGCCCTCCCTCATGTTATTTTTCACCTTCCTCCTCCTCCAATTCTCTCCTCCTCTCCTTTTCCTCCTCCTCGTCCTCCTTCTCTTCCTCCTCCACGTCGTCCTTCCCCTGCCCTTCATGGTCGTCCTCCTGTTGCCCCGTCGTCCTCGCAACTTTCGAAATTTCGTCAACAATCAATGTTCTTCTATAGTCTATGCTAAAGTCCGCTTCTCTCTCTAAGAATTGTCCGATTCTCCGCTCGCCGCTGCCGCCGCTCATCGCCGCCGCCGCCGAGAAAATCACTGCCGCGACAGCCTGCGCGACCACAGCCGCCCCCACGTTTGACGCGTCCCACGACGAAATTCAAGTGGCCAGAGACAGAACACGCCGTAATTCAGCAGTGTTGGCGAAGGCAGAAAATTACACATCAAACGTGTCTGGAAAGCTACCCGACCTACAGCGAAATGCCAGCAACGCAGAAATCGACACTTCTGCGAGCGGGACCAAGGCCGACAACGTAGGATGTTATCATGTTTTTTAGTTCAACGTTTCTGGGCGAGGTAATCAAAAAGTTCAGATCTTTTCCACCCCCGAAATCGAAGCACATCTCGAAGAACATAACACATGTATATTTATAACATTAAAACACTGGGCCCGAGTAGGCCCTACCCCTTTGTGCGCGCGGCCAATGGATGGGGTCGGAGGATTCCGCCGCATTGCCGATGCGTCGGCGATGCGGTTCGATTTGGAGTCCGGTTTTCTCCACGCCGGCGTCGCCGATGCATCGCCGACGTCGCCGATGTATCGCCGATTGACTGTTGATGCGTCGCTGATGCGGCCCGATCTTCCGACCCCATTTACTCCGACCCCATCTGGTCAGGCCTCTAGACCTTAGCTTTTAGTGTTGTCGGCCTCCGGAGGTCCTCGTCGGGATTCAGGACCGTCAAAAGACGGCTCAGGGTGCAGAGCTGGTCACGGGTAGCGGGTCGGGATTTCCGGGGACCCCGTATGAAAACAACAGTGCGTCAGATCTCTTTGCAGGTTTGCGTCGAGTCGACGGGCGTTCAAGGTTGAGCGCAGCCAATGGCCCAGGACCGTCCAATATAATGAAGACGATCCGGCCATCGGAATGCCGCGGATCGTCCAAAGTCGGACGAACCACGTGGTATCAGAAGCCAACGCCAGGGTCGTCGCGGCACGAGTCTGCTGTGCACCTGAATTGGTCCTGGCCGCGCCGATCCTGGGCTCAAGGTCTCCCGAGACCGTCGCGTTGTGCACGGGCGTGTCTGGAGATCGGGAAGGGGTGTGGCATGAAGGGGTGTCGTGCCAATCGTGGAAATGGCGATGCTATCTATCCACGGTAGATAGCCTCGCTAGACGCAGCATCGGCACCACACCCCTTCACACCACACCCCTTTCCTACCCCCCGGAGTGTGTGTGGGGGGGGCCCGTCGCTTTCGCCGGTTCTTTGCGGTATTCTGGCTTCGGGGTGCTTTCCAGCTTCGCCTTGCCGAGAGCGTTCCAGGGGTGCCCAGTTTGTCTCGAACCGCTGCCGGAGACCCGAGCATCGGCCGAAAACTGCAAGTTTTCGGCTTCTGGGGGGCCCTCACCGGCCTCAGCGGGCCCCCACGATGGTCAATCTGCCGCCCACCAAACCACCCCAACCCAACCCGAAGGCCCCGATTTGCCCTCCATTTCCAGTAACGGGGGGTCGGGAATATGGAGCAAAAATGCCTACGAAACCCGTGCCCCCCCATCCGAAATTCGGGTCTTCTGGTTGGGTTGGGGTGGTCTTGGTATGAGGAGGAGAAAAAAACACAGACACAATTAAAAACAATATAAGAAAATATGGGAAGTGGGGGGGAGACAAAAACCCAGAAAATGTAGGAAAGATGGAGAATCCTTTTATTTGTGTGTATCTTTGTGTGTGTGTGTGTGTGTGTCCCTGGGCACCTTCACGGTAGGTAGGCAGCCAGCAATAATGTCAGGACGGAAAGCTTGCCCCAAGCAGGGGTCCAGACATCTGTGGAGCCGCGGTGTGTGTGTGTGTGTGTGTGTGCAAACGAAAACCACGGAGCCGGATGTTTTTGCGATCGGCCAGGGCAGGGGGGCGTAGGTGCACCGACCTCTCAGCTTGGGATGCAACTCTCGGGACATGAAGCTCAGCAGCGGCGCCGGCATAGCCGTGGTCGAGACCAGGTCGATGCGGCATGTTCTGGATCAATCTGGATCGAGCCCACCTCGCCGAGCGTGTTTCACTGCTCGCAAAGTGCCTACTTGCAAACGTCCGGAAAACTGATGTCTGCTTCGATGAGATTTATCGTAGATCCCCCGCGGCGGATCCAGGCCACTGGCGAGCAGCTACTCTGCGAGTAGCGGAACGCGCTCGTCTACCACCAGAGGAGGAGGAGGAGGAGGAGGAGGAGGAGGAGGAGGAGGAGGAGCCCCTGGCCTGCTCGGGCCGACCCTGGCCTCGTGGCTCCCTTCTTGGGCGGAAGCCCCCGAGCCGCTCTGGCGGAGGCCCCGCAGGACTTTGCGCCCCGAGATCGGGAGGGGCCAGGACGAGGATCGAAGTCCGTGCCTCGACTTATGATGGTCCAGCCTACCTTAGCCTTGCTCGCCAGGCAGGACTTCGAGCACCAGTGCAGCACCGAAGCTCGGGGGTCTTCGCGTGTCGGGCCCTGGGAGAGACACTCGTCCGACACTGTTTCGATACTGCTCCGACACTTTCCCGGGTGCCCGAGATTTTTTCTGGGATGTGGTCCTCAAGCACGATGGGAGCAACATTTGCCTCGACGAGCGCGTTCCACTAATTACTCGCAACGTAACTGCTCGCAAGTGGCCTGGATCCCCCGCCCGGGGATCTACGATACATCACGTCGGAGCAGACAGGTGCTTTTCGGACGTTTGCGAGTAGGCTTTTTGCGAGTAGCTTGGCATCGCTCGGACGTGTGCATTTTTCCTTCGGCGAAGACCATCGAGGAGCATCCTTGATCATTTGGCGAAAAAACCACGCACGAAGCCGAACAAAAACACAGGGAATGGACGTCCGAGCGATGCCCAGATAGTGGAACGCGCTCGGCGAGTGCCAGAGCGTGACGGAACGCTCCCAGAGCGTGCCGGAGCGCTCTGGGAAGGCCGTGGCACCAGAGACAGCCTCCAGAGCTGCCGGATCTCAGACATCTCTTGTCATCCTCGTCTCAAGTCGGGCCTGTCCCTCTACAGGAGGGGTATTCAGAAAGAGTAAGAAGATAGTCTGGGAACGTTTTTTTTTGACTATTTTTGGGCCATGCCAAGAGATGCCCTGGTCGCCTCCCGGGTGCCTCGGGTTTTTTGTTTGGGTTTCGCTGGCTTGCCATGGAAAGCGTGACGTCCCCACACCAGACATCAGTGGACGCCCTGGGGTCTCGTGGTCGGATTTCCTGCGGAAGGTTTCTTGTGGACTGGCCTCTGCTGTAGGCCTTGCCAGGATGGGTTCGAGTGAGCAGTTTGTGCCCTCCTGCGGAGGGCGGCGGCTGCGGGGCGGCCCACGTTGGCGCCGCGGAGCCGGCGGAGCAAAAAGGTCCGCCCGCCGTGGTGGCGACCTTCGATCGCCAAGAGTCGAAGAAGAAAAAACGGCATACAGGCAACCCGCATAGTAAGGATGGGCAACCTTCCCAAGGGTACCCTTGCATCCCTGCCTCCTCGGTCCATCCTTGGCCACTCTCGTTGGCCGCGCCCCGCTCGAAAAGCTTCGACGTGGCCTTCCAAGGCCCTTGCATCCCTATCGCGCATCCTTGCTACGGTGGAGGCGTTGGTTAGGGAATGTGTCCAGGGGCTTCAGACCCTGGAGGGTTTCTTTCTCTGATGAGGGCGGCGATGGTATCCATGGCCAACCCACGACTGGCTTGCCACTGGCTTCCAGACCCTGGGTTCCTCACCGAAGGTTCCCTGATCCAATGCCATCACCGTGGTGCGGGCGGAAGATCGCCTCGCTCCTCGGCCGATCGGGGGCCTGCCGCGCGGCTCCGTTCGAGCCGTGTCGGGCAGCGGCGCCACGCAGTGAAGTTGCAAGCGCGCGCCCGCTCGTGGGGGCTCGCAGAGTTTAAAAAGACGCCATCACCGTACAGTGCCGTTTTTCATACATGCTCCCCGTGCGGACCATGTATTAACAATGCAGGGATCTAGTATTGAAAACAACGATGAGTTCGTGCATACATGTACTCATACATTAATCATGCATTAAACATCATATATATATAGATCCTATGTATTAAGAACTTCCCTGTACACTGGTTGACTGAAGACATAAACTCTTGGCGCTCCGCGCGGATGGCTCGGCCCCTCGCTGGGCCCCCCCGGGGCGGCGCCTCCCGGCGCGCGCCGCCCCCGGCGCGCTCCGCGCGCCGGGGAGGGGGCCCCAGCGCGGGTCCAAGAAGTCTAATTCCGTTTTCGTTTCTTCTTTTTCTTTTACTTATTATGATATTGATTATGGTTATGATTATTGTTATTATCATTCGTATTACTTTTTACTCATTTTTCTTCTTCTTCTTCTTCTAAAGAGGATGGAGGGCCAGACATGCAGCCTCCGAAACAAGAACACCTGGAGGCAGGTTTTCTTTTCTTTCGGCCTCTGAGAGGCCTGATGGAGCCTGGAAGATAGGCCCACCTCCCACCCAGTGAAGGCTGCCAGTGAAGGTCGGAACACCCTCCCCTCCCTCCCTCCCACCCTCCCACCCGGTGCAGGGTGCTCCCACCCTCCCACCTAGCTTCCTTCCCCTCCTCCCACCCTCCCTGCCACCCCCTTCCCCCTGCCCTCCCCCCTCCCTGCTTCAACGTCCTGCCTCTTCCCTGGTGCCCCCCTCCCGAAGAGCGGCACCGCAGTGAGGACATGCTCGTCCGCAGTTCCGCGCGCATTCGTTCGGTTCGCGCGGGCGTCCTCCGCCGGCGCCGCCCTTGGCGCGTTTCGCGCGCTGGGTGAGGGTGAGGTCGCATGCGTGCCGACCCAGGAACTCCGGGGGGCCATGCGATTTGTTCTGCTGAATCTCCGGGCGTGCGTCCGCCCAGCTGTTTTTTACCGTGCCTCCACCGATCCGACTGCGCGCAGCCCGTGCTGCTTCATGGTCACTTCGCTTGCGTCGTACCCTATCGGCTTCGTTCGACAAGCGCACGGCGGGGGTCGTTTTGAGGATGATCGATATTCGATTGTTCTACCCCCCTCGCGGCCCTGGGAAATCCGGTTTTGTCAAGCAGCGACCGAATTCGAGCCCAGCCCAGATTTATGTGGGGCGTGTCCCCCCCCTACAGGAGATCCCGATCTCGGTGATGGTGGCCGAAATATTACCACCAACACCGAAATCTAGGATCACCTTCCCCCTGTGGAGGCAATCCCCTGTGTTGGTGTTGGTGCCCATTTCCAGGCCTCCAAGAGATGGGCCCGTGCAGGCCCGGTAACGGCGGATACTGTCCGTCCGTCGCCGTGGTCGTCACCACCGCCGCCGCCGCCGCCGCCGCCGCCGCCGCCGTCGTCGTCGTCGTCGTCGTCGTCGTCGTCGTCGTCGTCGTCGTCGTCGTCGTCGTGGTCGTCGCCCCGGTCGCCACCTTCACCGTCGTCGCCGCATTCGCCGTCGGGTGGTTACCTTCACCAGCGCCGTCGCTGCGGTTGTCACCCAGTGGCACCTTAGACCTCGTATTCCTGCGGCATTCTTCGAGCCGGATCGAGCTGCGATGGTCACGGGGCCCGGAATTGGGCGACACCGCCAGGTGAGAATATATTACAACGCGCAGATCTCAGGGTCTTTTTCCTCCACCTCGTCGTCCTCCGCCTCCTCCTCCTTCTCCCTCTCCTCCTCCTCGCTGTGCTTCGGTGTTGCCGCGACCCCTGGAAGTCTGGACACACTCCCAGGGACCAGCTTTTCATCGGGACGGCCGTGGGGCCCGCCGAAGGCCTCTATAGAGGCCGAAACCACGGCGAAACAAATCCGTCCCGAATTTGGGAATTCGTTGGAGGTCTGGGGATCTCAGGTCCCTTTTTGACCTTGGCCATGGATCTGCGTCGAGGCTGTTGCGTCCGCCCAGTACCAAAAAAGAAGGATCCCGACGTCGCGAAGCGCGTGCGCAAACTGAGGCCGCTGGTGGTGCGGGCACCAGAGGGACCAGAAGAAATGGACCTCCTCCTCCTCCTCCTCCTCCTCCTATTCCTCCTCCTATTCCCCCTCCTCCTTCTTCTTCCTCCCTCCTCCTGCCCCTCCTCCTCCTCCTCCTCCTCCTCCTCCTCCTCCTCCTCCTCCTCCTCCTCCTCCTCCCCCTCCTCCCACCTCCTCCTCCTCCTCCTCCTCCTCCTCCTCCTCCTCCTCCCTCCTCCTCCTCCTCCTCCTCCTCCTCCTCCCCCCCTATCCCTCCTCCTCCTCCTCCTCCTCCTCCTCCTCCTCCTCCTCCTCCTCCTCTCCTCCTCCCCTCCGTCCTCCCTCCGCCTCCTCCTCCTCCTCCTCTCCTTCCTCCTCCTCCTCCTCCTCCTCTCCTCCTCCTCCTCCTCCGCCTCCGCCCCCTCCCCGTGCCTAATCGGTGCTGCGCGCGGGGGGGGGGGGGGGCGGCGCGGGGGGCGGCGCGCCCCGCGCCACTGCCGCCGCGCCGCCGGCGCGGGTGGCCCGGCCGGCGCGCGATGCAGCGGCTGCGGCGTCGCGAGGCAGCTCCTCCTCCTGCCTCCTCCTCCTCCTCCTCCTCTCCTCCCTCCTCCCCTCCTCCCTCCCCCCCCCCCCCCCTCCCCCCCCCTTTCCCCTCACGCCTCCCTCCTACCCTTCCTCCTCCCTCCTCCTCCTCCTCCTCCTCCTCCTCCTCCTCCTCCTCCTCCTCCTCCTCCTCCTCCTCCTCCTCCTCCCCCTCCTCCTCCTCCTCCTCCTCCTCCTCCTCTCCTTCCTCCGCCTCCTCCTCCTCCCTCCTCCTCCTCCTCCTCCTCCCTCCTCCTCCTCCTCTCCCTCCTCCTCCTCCTCCTCCATCCTCCTCCTCCTCCTCCTCCTCCTCCTCCGTCCTCCCCCTCCCTCCCTCCCTCCCACCCTCCCTCCCTCCCTCCCTCCCCTCCCTCCCTCCATCCCTCCCATCCCTCCCTCCCTCCCCTCCTCTCCCTCCCCTCCCTCCCTCCCTCCCTCCCTCCTCCCCTCCCTCCCTCCCTCCTCCTCCCTCCTCCTCCTTCTCCTCCTCCTCCTCCTCCTCCTCCTCCTCCCTCCTCCTACTCCTCCTCCTCCTCCTCTCCGCGTGCCGGCGCGGCCCCGGGGCCCGGCGCGCGTGTCGAGTCGGGGTTTGGCTTCCCGAGGCGGTGCTGGCTGATCCTGCCAGCGGGCGCGGGCGCAGGCCCGGCACGGGGCCGCGCCCGAGCGGGGCGGGCGGCGGGGCGGAGCGGCGCGGGCGCCGAGGAGCACGGCGCGCCTAGCGCCCACGGCCAGCCGCGGCGCCGGCGCGGGTGCCCCGGCGCGCGGGCCAGCGGGCGCGGCGTCGCCGAGGCAGCCGGCAGGCCCGGCACGGCGGGCGGCGGGGCGGAGCGGCGCGGGCGCCGAGGAGCACGGCGGTCCGGCGATGCGTGTTTTTTCGGCCCGCGCCTTTTGTTGTTATTGTGTATGTGTAGGCATTTGTCTCTGCATCTCTTTCTCTCTCTATATATATATATGCACATCTATGTTTACGTATATATCTCTACAAACACATATTTGTGTATATATATGTATATATACATATGGATTGATGACTGCGTACGTTTACTTGTGTATATGTATAGACATGTATATATACACACATGTATGTAGACATACATGCATATATGAGCATGTGTATACGCACGTATGTATGTATATATTTGCCGGCGGAAGAGGATCGGGGCCGCCGGGAGTGTGCCTGCTTCCTCCACTGCGCGCGGCGGGGGTACTTATAAGTACTTATGCTAGTTATAAGTAACTTATGAACTTACGGCCTACTTATAAGTAACTTATAAGTAACTTATAAGTAGCCCGTAAGTAGCCCGTAAGTAGCCCGTAAGTAGCCCGTAAGTAGTGCGTAAGTAGCCCGTAAGTAGCCCGTCAGTAGCCCGTAAGTAGCCCGTGGGTTCTAAATTTCAATGGTTTTGGTTCCAAACTGTTTGCGATTTTGCTAACATGCTTTCTGTGAGTTCCATGTTCGGAGGTCGATTTTTTCAGCATGCAATCTGGATTCGTATATTTCCATGTTCGGAACAAGATTTTCGCAGGTTGTAATTACATTCGTGCGCATGATGTTAACCTGATCAAATTTCTGTTTCTGTTGTTCGCGCCTATAATTTCAATGCTAACTTAAACGAAATTCTTGACACTTCGCGTATCCCCACCAGCCCATCCATAGTGAAACAGCGCGGGCACTACTGTTGAATTGGGGAGATCTCTGGTAGCGAAGGGTGCGGGTGCTGCTGCTGGTGCTGTTGCTGCTGCTGCTGGCACTGCTGCTGCTGCTGGTGCTACTGCTGGTGTTGCTGATTCTCGTGCTGCTGGCGCTGCTGCTGGTGCTGGTGCTGGTGGTGCTGCTGCTGCTGGGCAGGTGTTGCTGGCGCTGCTGCTGGTGTCATTGCCGCTGGTGGTGCTGTGGGTGCTGGTGGTGCTGCTGCTTCTGGTAGTTTTGCTGCGGGTGCTGCTGGTGTTGCTGGTTCTCGTGATGCTGCTGGCGCTGCTGTGGTGCTGCTGATGGTGCTGGTGTTGCTGTTGGTGGTGGTGGTGGTGCTGCTGCTGCTGCTGGTGCTGCTGGTGCTGGCTGATGCTGGCGATGGTTATCGTGCTGCTGGTGCTGCTGGTGCTGCTGCTAATGCATTTGCTGCTAATGGTGGTGATGTTGGTGCTGCTGATAGTGCTAGTGCTGTTGCTGCTGCTGCTGCTAGGTGCTGCTGCTGGTGCTGCTGCTGACGGTGGTGGCGGTGTTGCTGGTGCTACCGCTGCTGCCAAGTGCTCTTGCTGGTGGTTGTAGTGATGCTGCTATTGATGCAGGTGCTGACGGTGGTAGTGAAATCAGGCAGCGTAACAACCGCCTAGGAAGCGTTTTCTCGGAGGTATTGGGATCTTCGGGCCATGTGGTGCTCGTTTGGAAGGTCTTGG